AGGTTCGTAACAGACTGTGAACAGTGCAATGAAAGTCACTGATGTTGTCTGGGGCTCAACAGGCCTACTTGTCCTGTGTTATGTCCTACCGCACGCACGCTTCTGGAAGCCCCAGCCGGCCTGCCGTGAGCCTAGGCAGCGCCGCCCGCTTTGCCCTCGGCCCACAAAGCTTCCTGACTGCGCTTCTGCTCACCTCGGCCTGCAGCATTCCTGGTCAGTCATCTGGCTGCGTCGGGGAAGGGCGTGTGGTCCTCCTCTGGCTCCTCCCCAGCCGACCCAAGGGGGCCACTTTGGTCGCCCTGGGAGCAGCAGCCATGGTGCCCAGTGGTGCACCAGGCCGGCCTCGTGGGCCCTGGAGCTGGAGCCCACAGACCCCAGAGGGAATCCACTCACCTGACCACTGTACAGGCTTTTAATATAGAAAAAGTCTGTCAAAAATAATTTTCCTAGGTTGTGTTGTTTTTTATTTAGGTTATTTTTGCAAATAAGCCTTTTCATGATGTCCTCTCATTTCTGATTTCTTTTAAGCTTAATGTAACCCCCTTAGAGATCTGATAAGTATTCACATTCAGCTCCCTCCTGTCTGATAAAGAAGTGAAAGCCTTCTTTCCACCATCCTCCTAGTGCAGACCCAAGGCAGTTTCATACCAAGGCCCAACGTTTTCTTTGTTTGTCACCGCTGCTCAACACACCCTCTTGGAGTCAATTCAGTTGTGGTTCTTGGGCTCCTACAGTGTTTGCTCACTTCTGGTCCTCTGCATAGCTCACAGAGCATTTGTGTGACCACACTGCCAAGGGTCCTTGAGTCAGACTGATAGGAAGGAGATGAGATGCTAGCAGACCTGTTTGCACATGAGGCCACTCGCTTCCGAGGGTGGCAGAGATGTCATTAGAGTTACAGCACTGGGTTGACCCTGAGAAAAGAGGAATAAGAAACAGGAGTGGGGAGTAGTTAATTGTTACCTGTTCTCAGAAAAGATGGTCTCAGGGTAAGGAGATACTTTTAAGAACATTCTGAGATTTCAGGTTTAATCTGGAGCTTTGCCCCCTTTGTTATGTAAAGATTTCAGACAATTCTAATGTCTTATAGCATCTTCAGACCTGAGTCACTTAAGACCTCAGAGAGGACTTCCCTGGTAGTTTAGTGGTTAGGAATCCACCTGCCAATGCAAGGGACATGGGTTTCATCCCTGCTCTGGGAAGACTCTACATGCCGCGGAGCAGCTAAGCCTGTGCGCCACAACTGCTAAGCACCCACGTCCTATGGCCCATGCTCCGCAACAAGAGAAGCCGCCTCAAGAAGCCTGCACACCGCAACTAGAGAGTAGCCCCCGCTCACCCCAGCTAGAGAAAGCCCACGCACAGCAACGAAGACCCAGCGCAGTAAAAAATAGGTAAAGAAATAAAGACCTCGGTGAGATAAGACATAGGGTCAGTACATCAAGCAACCTTGTGAACAGGTATGACTCACTCAAACTCACCAAGTAACTCCCTGGGGAGTCTTTCCTTCTTTTCATAATTTATTGAAAACCCACTGTGCTGCCGCACTGTGCCAGGAGAGGGATTTCATGCTAGAGGGGGCACAGCCATATATACAAAAAATAGTAATAATACACAGACAAACATACGAACTTCAAATTGTAGTAGGTGCTATTAAACCCATCAACATAGACCCCGGTTAGAAAATAACTGAGGTAGGGGTGACGGATGCTCCAGGGGGATGCTCAGGGAAGCCTCCTCTTGGGAGGCGACACTTTCAAGCAATCAGGTGAACCCTGGGGATGGGTGACGGTAGGCAAACCTTTTAAGACAAGGAAACAGCAAGCTCTGAAATTCCGAAGCAGGGGTGGAAAGAAGCAGATAGTTTGAGACAGATTTTACAGGTAGGACTAACAAAGGGTGAGGGGGAGCATTGGATCAGGGTGAGCCCCAGGTTCTGGGAGGACCAGTTGGCTGGATGCTGGTGTGATTGCAGAGCGGGAGAACCCTGGGAGAGAGCCGGGGAGAAACTAAGACTCAGGAGTTGAGTCTGTCCATGTTAAGTTGGAAAGGCCTATTGAATATCCAAGGGTAGGTATCATTGGGCACTTGGGGGAGAGGCCCAGGGTGGAGGTATGGACTTGAGAATCATTAGTTTGTAGAAAATACAAAAAAACCATGGGGTTAGAAGCAATCACCTAACAAAAGAAGAGAAGAGACATAAGACTGTGTCCTGGGATTCTCCAGTATTTAGAAGTCAAGGTCAAAGAGGTAGAGCCAGAAAAAGAGACTGAGAAAGAACATCCAGTGTGGTAGATTTTTTAAGCCTATATTTAAATAGGACAAGTGCAAATTTGAATTACTGGCAGTCCAGTGGTTAAGAATCAGCAATTTCACTGCTGGGGGCTGGGTTCAATCCCCAGTTGAAGAATTAAGGTTCTGCAAGCCAGCAGGCATGGCCAAAAAAAGGACAACTGCTCAACCATGTTGAATGCTACTAGGGGATAATGCAAAATGAGGACATGGACGTGACACCAAATTTGGTAATACAGAGGTACTCTATGACATTGATAATAGGACTTTCTGGGGCTGGTTTGGGCAGAACCTGAGTGGAGGGAGTTGAAGAGTAAATGTTGCTTTCTGAATAAAAATGGCAGTTGGATGACAATGAAAAACAAAGGTGATCATTAACTCGACGGAACAAAAAGTTGTTCAGCAATGGAAAGGTCCTTATAAGATACCATATTGTTTAGCTTGGAGGTTCAGCTTGCAGTCTAACTCATTACAGTGATCTAACTATTATGACATTATTATATCAAGAAAATGGTGAATGGGAGGGTACCTGTTGCAAGTTGGGGTAGGGAAGGCCAGGTAAAAGAGCTAAATACTATCTTTCTAAGTGACATTGAATCAAGATCATGAGTGAAGATGTAGGAGATGTAAGGGTGACAAATATGTGAAGAAGTACTTTTGGAAAGGGAACATATAAGGAAAGTGAAGAAGGGATGGGAGTGTCCTGAGGGTCCACATGACCTGTGAGGTGTTATATTGGAAATGCAACCAGTCCCAACCATTGGGACTTTTTCCAGCCAGTGTGGATTCCAAGAAGGTGGGATTGGGAGAAGCAGGCCCTCTGGCATCTGTGTGAAGGTGGGGTTTGGGGTCTTTAAGTGGCCCTAGTGTGGGAGGCAAGTTTTAGAATGATAATCCAGGTAGACATGGCTGGTTAGCACACAACTTGTACCAGAGTCTGAGCCCTTTATTTCCTGTAGCCCCTTCAGTTTTCAGTTGGTAACTCAGACCTAAAGTGCAGAGAGGATAAGTGCTGGACCAAGGCCACACAACTGGGCTAAGCCAGGCCTCTGACTTTCTCCCTGGGTCTGCCCCACAGCCCAGAGACTCAGGAGGGCAATGACCAGACCAAGTTTACTTTTTGGCCATGAATGGAATGAAAAGGTTCATCCTGGGTTAACTCAGGAAGCTACTCTCTCTAGAAAAATCTCTTAAGGTCTTATTAATAATAATATGGCATTAATAATACTACATACTATAATTAATTAACTTCACAATGGTGCAGGCACTTTTCCAAAGCTCTCATATATTACATTATCTCAGTCCTCATGACAAGTTGGTGATGTGGGTGCAAGTATTTTCCCTACTTCACCCTGGAGGAAAATGAGGCTCAGAGAAGTCAAGTGATCCACCCTAGTCATGATGGTTTGAGCAGCAGAGGCCAGATTCCAACAGGCTGCTGGGCTCCAGCGTCCTCACGGCTCCCCATCCCTGGGACCTGGGATCCCATACAGTGCTTGGTGGGCAGGAGGCAGCTGGAGCTTCGCGCCGGCAGCCTGGAGAGGAGGCTAAGAGCCTAGGGGCAGGGTAAGCCAGGGGCTGTGCAGAGCCTGAGAGGTACAGGGTGGCTAGCTTAGGTCCACCTTATTCTTAAGGTCCAAGGATAAGGATCAGAGGGCCACTTAGGTGGCCCAGAGAGGGAGACTTCCATCCTGAAGCCTACCAGCCTGGGGTCATAAACCAAAGGCTGCTTTCTCAGGCTGGGCCCCTTTGGCTGTGGCTTTGCCCCTCCCCTACATGCCCTTGAGGCCCCAGGCCTGAGCTGGTATCTGCCCTGGTCCCCACAAATTAGGGTGCTGGTCAGGGCAGGAATTGGGGTGCTGGTTGTCAGTTTCTCCCCTGACCTTTGAACCTTGCTGGGTCTGGATTTCTTGTTTTCCCCGTAGACGCTCCCTCTACTCCTGCCTGGAAGGGGAGTGGTGGGGATATTCCAAGAAGCTGTCCCTAAGGTCCCCAGTCCCTCCAGGAAACTGCCCCACCCACCAAGTGGAATAGCCCCTGATTCCATGTTGGTCCCTTGCCTCCATGACACGGGGCTGCAGGCAGCATTTTCTCTTCTAGGGCAGCTGGTACAATGGCCTCTGTCGGCGCAACCGAGAGTATGTGCCATTCCTGGTCACTTGTCCTCTCACAGGACTAATCCCCCGGATGGGGTCCTGCATACCGACTGTCCCCTGCCCACCACTCCTGGGCTGGGGCCTGACCTGCTCACACAGCAGCCCCTGGGGTCCCCTTGCCCCCTTCTCTGGGGTCTGTGTCAGGGGACAGGGCCTGTTGACCCTCAGCCTCTTCTGGACACCAGAAAGCTTGGAGACAGTCTCCAAGTGACCCCCCCACTCCCCGTCTGTCCACCTTTCCGAGTCCAGAGAGTCGCAATCACAGACGCAGCAGCTCCTGTCATATGCAGCCACACCGCTGCCTGTGACAGCCTGCAGGCCGGCGCCCCTCCCCCACCGTCCCCCGCACAGGTCCACGTGCGTCCCCAGATGCCTGAATCACTGCTGACGCCTGGGGACCTGGAGGCCATGGGCTCCTGGGGAGCCACTGGGGAGGGGGTAGCAGCCACGTCACTTCAGAGGGAACACCTGCAGACATAAATAGGCAGCCAGCGAAGACATCGCCGCACAGTCCACAGAGCAGCACTGCGTACTGTGCCCACCTGTGCCAGGATGCCCGACGCCACACTGCCCGCCTGCTTCCTCGGCCTGCTGGCCTTCACCTCCGCTTGCTACTTCCAGAACTGCCCAAGGGGCGGCAAGAGGGCCATGTCCGACCTGGAGCTGAGACAGGTATGACCATGGCTGCTCTCAGGGCTGCGAGGAAGGGGCAGAGGCCCAGGGATGGCACCACCGTGCAGGGGCTAACAAGGGAAGTCGTGGGAGAGGCAGGCTTTAGGGGAAGTGCCCAGCAGAAGAAGGGAGGCTTGGCATGGCCGGACAAAGGGGACCAGGCTGTTGGGCAGGCTAGGACAGGCTGCAGGACTTCCAGAACACTGTCCCCACCAGAGAAGGGATGCTGGCAAGAGAGGTTTCCCTAGTTCCTGGGCTTGGAGCTGCAGCAGGGAGAATGGGCAGCAAGGCCTTCTCTGTGCCCATGGAGGCCTCTCCTTAGGACCAGCTGGAGCTTCAGAGGCTCTGTCCTCCCAGCACTAGAAGGCTTCCCCATTCAGCGTCCAGCTTCTCCTAGCCATGGGCCCCAGCATCCATCCCGCCCCCGAAGCTGGCCATTGCCCTGAGCTTGCCTGAGTGAGAGGTGCCACTCAAGCATCCTGTAAGGAAGTTCTTCTGGGTACCTAGCCCAATTCTTTCATGCTGCATGTCCAATGAGTCCCTCTGAATCCATCTTCAGCAGCACTAAAGGAAACCCAATCACCACGCTCAGTTCTGCCACGGTCACAAGTGGCCAGTTCTGAGCTGTTGAACAAACTAGGGTGGGAAGGTGGGCAGCCCCCACTGACCACCCTTCCTCTGCTCGGCAGCTTCGGAAGCTGGAGTCACCTGGGCGCCTCATACCCTCCTCTAGGCTCAGACCCTTGCCACTCAGGGTCAGCCCTTAGGTGGGCTAGCAGAAGTCAAGGTCCCGGTGAGGCCCACTGGCTTGAGGGGCAGGGCAAAGGCAGAGCGGGGACAGGACAGGGCGAGGAGGGCCCAGGGTGTTCTGGCCAGGGGGCGGCGGAGGAGGGCAGAGGGAAGGTCTGCTCAAGGGGAGGGTAGTGGGCAGCGGAGAGAGGGGTGAACACCAGGAGGCCCCAGAGCTGATCGGGGAAGTCTCCCCCAAACAGCGCAGGAGGGTTCCCTTTAACAAAGCGAGAGGACGCGGAGGGCTGTGACTGACAGCTGTTCCTCAGACATCTGAAAAGCGAGGGAGCGGAGGAGCTTTTGACTGCCCTCCTTCGACCGCTTTTGGGCCCAAAGAGAGCCGGGCAGACCCGCCACCTCCCGCGCTCCTCCGGCCGCCCTCGCCCGCCCGGCTCAGCCCCCCGCCCTGCAGGGTCTCCCTCCCCGGCCGGTCCCCTCCCGCCCCCGCCTCACCCGCGCCCTCCCGCCAGTGTCTCCCCTGCGGCCCCGGGGGCAAAGGCCGCTGCTTCGGGCCCAGCATCTGCTGCGGGGACGAGCTGGGCTGCTTCGTGGGCACGGCCGAGGCGCTGCGCTGCCAGGAGGAGAACTACCTGCCGTCGCCCTGCCAGTCCGGCCAGAAGGCCTGCGGGAGCGGGGGCCGCTGCGCCGCCGCCGGCATCTGCTGCAACGACGGTGAGCGGCCCGGGCGGGTGGGCCGGGGCCGGGGCCGGGGCAGGGCGGCTCTGGGCCGGGGGCGGGGGCCGGGTTGATCTGGGTCGGGGTCTGGAGCGGGTGGGGTGCGGGGCCCGGTCCCCGAGACGCGCCCGCCCGCAGCGCGCTCAGCCCGTGCTCCCCGCAGAGAGCTGCGTGACCGAGCCCGAGTGCCGGGAAGGTACCGGCTTCCCCCGCCGCGTCCGCGCCAGCGACCGGAGCAACGCGACCCTGCTGGACGGGCCGAGCGGGGCCTTGTTGCTGCGGCTGGTGCAGCTGGCGGGGGCGCCGGAGCCCGCGGAGCCCGCCCAGCCCGGCGTCTACTGAGGAGCGCCCCCCACCCCACCCCTCCCCGCCCTCGCAGCACAAAAAATAAACGGTTTAAAGGCACTGCTAGCGTGCGTCTCTGTCTCTGGGGGTGGAGAGGGGAGAGGAAGCGAGGGCGGGGGATCAGTTCCTGGCCCCGAAGTCGCGCGCAGATCCACCCCCAGAAAAGGGACAGATGCTGGGGGAAGCGATCTTGGGCCAGCAAGATTCTGGATAGAACAATTCTAGATTCTAGATCGAACAACGGACTGGAAGACCTGGGGAACGCGGAGAGGGAGGCCGCCGCCTGGGAGTGGCCTTGGAGGGTGCTGGGTTGGGGCTCTGGCAATAGGATGGAAATAAAAACAGAGAGGGGGGAAAAACATTGGTGGACAAGATAGCAAGAGAGAGCGGGATAGCAGAACGGTGGAGAGAGACGTTGAGAGTCACAGAGAGAAGAATGAGAGGGGCAAGGGGATGAGCCAAGGGTGACCAGGAGCTCCTGACTCTTTTTACATCCCAGGAGACTGAGGCAAAAACAGCTCCAGGGATTCCCAGCCTTGCTCATCCGAGACTGTCTTATGTGCCCGAGTGTGGGGGACATTATCACCCCAGATCCAGCAGAGAGGAGGGCCAGGTACTGTCTGTCCAGGAGGAGACTAAGTACCCCCATTCAGGCCACTCAGCCAGGGTGAGAGAGGGAGCCTACAGAAACCCTGGGTACATTCCCCGCCCTCATACAGCCACACCAAACCCCTGCCGCCTCCAACACACACAGTCAGGAAAAAAATCATTAGGGATGTGCCCCATGATCCTTGGCCACAGTCATAGATACAGACCTGAGATACACATTCAGAAGCACAGACACACACAGAGAAACAGACAGAGCCGACTGGACCACATACAGGCACGTGTACACACACACACACACACACACACACACACACACACACACACTCACATTAGGACCTTCCAGCCTGGGCTATGCAGCTTCAGGGCAGATGTCTGCTAGCATTTGACAGATGCTCTTCTATGCCCCTCAGTCCTTCATCCCCTCTATCCCATTTACCCCTTTATCCCCTTTCCCCTCACTCCTCTCTTTCCCCTGCCCCCACCCCAGCTCTTTGGCCCTCCCCTGCCTCTTGCTTCTCTCCTTTTCCCCCTACATCCTTTCCAAGCCTCTTCTCACCCCTCTTCCCTTCTGCCTATCTCCTATCCTTCTGCCTTCCCCCACTCTCTCTTCTCTGCATCCTCATCTTGGGATTTCTTGCTCCAGGTCTTGGGACCACAAGGGACTGCATCTCCTCTGGAATCTTCTGAGACTTGAGGCCACCGAGGGAGCACAGGCAAAGAGAATTCTCTCTGAGCCCTGACCCCAAGCCCCTGCCTCGGGGCAGAGCCTAGTGACACAGTCCTGCCTGCCCCAGACTCTCTTCTGCTCTTAGAGCTCTGCTCTGCCGTCACCCTGACCCACCTCCAGGTCCAGCATGATTGAGTCTGGCTGGGGCAGGGCGCACTCCGGCTTCTCTCCCTGCCATGGCCTCACCCCTCTGCCCTAGTGTGGCATGCTCAGGGCCAGTACCAGACCTGGACCAGACCTAATAGGAATTTAGTAATTTTTCCAGACAGAGGGAGATGGGAAGAGGCGAGCTGGTGTTTTAAAAATGGATCACATGCTCAACATTGCTAATTATTAGAAAAATGCAAATCAAAACTAATGAGGTATCACCTCATGCCAATCGGAATGTACATCACCAAAAAGTTCACAAATAATACATGCTGGAGAGAGTGTGGAGAAAAAGGAACCCTCCCACACTGTTGGTGGAAATGTAAATTGATGTAGCTGCTATGGAGAACAGTATGGAAATTCCCTAAAAAAACTAAAAATAGAATTGCTATGTGATCCAGCAATCCCACTTCTGGGCATGGATCCAGAAAAGACAAAACCTCTAATTTGAAAAGATACATGCACCTCAATGTTCATAGCAGTGCTATTCACAACAGTCAAGACATGGAAGCAACCTAAGTGTCCATCAACAGATGCATGGATAAGGAAGATGTGATATACACACACGCATACATATATATACACACACATGGACTGTTACTCAGCCATAAGAAAGAATGAAATAATGCCATTTGCAGCAGCATGAATGGAACTAAAGATTATCCTTCTAGATGAGGTAAATCAGACAAATATCATATGATATCGAATATGTAGAATCTAAAAAAATGATACAAATGAATTTATTTACAAAGCAGAAACAGACTCACAGACATAGAAAACAAACTTATGGTTACCAAACGGGAAGAGGGGGATAAATTAGGAGTTTGGGGTTAAAATATGCACAGTACTATATACAAAACAGATAAACAACAAGGACCTACTGCTGCATAGGGAACTATATTCAATATCTTGTAATAAACCACAGTGAAAAAGAATCCGAAAAAGAATATATGTATATTCATATATATGTAAAATTGAACCACTTTGCTGTATACTAGAAATTAACACAACATTGTAAATCAACTATACTTCAATTAAAAAATGAATCATAGACCTAAATGAATCTAAAATTGTAAAACTTCTTGAAGAAAATATAGGAGAAATTCTTTATGACCTCAAGTTATGTAAAACACTCTTGACACTCTGACACCACAAGAAGAAGAAATGTGATACATTTGGAATTCACCAAAATTAAAAACTTCTGCTCTTTACTTTTTGTTCATGATGCATCACATCATGATCTTTTTTTTTTTTAAATTATTTATTTGTTTTTGGCTGTGCTGGGCTTTTGTTGCTTTGCTTGGCCTTTCTCTGGTTGCGACAAGTGAAAGTTTCTTCTTTGTGGTGCACCGGCTTCTCATTGTGGTGGCTTCTCTTGTTGTGGAGCACAGGCTCTGGAACTCAGGCTCAGGAGTTGTGGTGCACAGGCTTAAAAATGAAACAGAAGAATGTGACATTTAGAGCCCAGAAGACTACCTTTATTATTGATAGAACTGGCACTAGAGAATGCAACTTCCATCTGCCGGCAAGGAGGCTTCACAGAACTGAATAACAGAGCTGTTTACCACCTGGGACACAAGGAGCTGGACCTTCACAACCCTTTCCTCCCAGCCAAGTTCCTGCATTTGTACTGTGACAGCCTGCTTCCTGGCAGGGCACCCTCATCCCAAGAGGGATTGGAGATGAAGGCGTGGGATTATGCCCGCTCCTTTCCTCTCGCCCTCTCCTTCCCCAAATCAGCTGCTCTTCTGGGAGGAGTGTTACCTCAGGGAGAGCTCTCTATATGGAAGAAACTAATGGGAAAGGGAGAAAATATTTCTGACCTTTGCCCCATGAATGATCATCTTTTATGATGCTGGAAAAACTTCTGGTATAATTTCAAACCATTCCAGATTTTAAAACTCAGCTCAGTCAGTTCAGTCACTCAGTCGTGTCTGACTCTTTGTGACCCCATGGACTGCAACATGCCAGGCTTCCCTGTCCATCACCAACTCTCAGAACTCGCTCAAATTCATGTCCATCGAGTCGGCGATGCCATCCAACCATCTCATCCTCTGTCATCCCCTTCTCCTCCTACCTTCAATCTTTCCCAGCATCAGGATTTTTTCCAGTGAGTCAGTTCTTCACATCAGGTGGCCAAAATATTGGAGTTTCAGCTTCAGCATCAGTCCTTCCAATGAATATTCAAGGCTGATTTCCTTTAGGATGGACTGGTTGGATCTCCTTGCAGTCCAAGCAACTCTCAAGAGTCTTCTCCAACACAGTTCAAAAGCATCAATTCTTTGGTGCTCAACTTTTTTTATAGTCCAACTCTCACATCCACACATGACTACTGGAAAAACCATAGCTTTGACTAGATGGACCTTTGTCGGCAAAGTAATGTTTCTGCTTTTTAATATGCTGTCTTGGTTGGTCATAGCTTTTCTTCCAAAGAGCAAGTGTCTTTTAATTTCATGGCTGCAGTCACCATCTGCAGTGATTTTGGAGCCCAAAAAAATAGTCTGTCACTGTTTCCATTGTTTCCCCATCTATTTGCCATGAAGTGATGGGACCAGATGCCATGGTCTTAGTTTTTTGAATGTTGGGTTTTAAGCCAACTTTTTCACTCTCCTCTTTCACTTTCATCAAGAGGCTCTTTAGTTCTTCTTTGCTTTTTGCCATAAGTGTGGTGTCATCTTCATATCTGAGGTTATTGATATTTTCCCCGGCAATCTTGATTCCAGCTTGTGCTTCATCCTGCCCAGCATTTTGCATGATGTATTTTGCATATAAGTTAAATAAGAAGGGTGAAAATATATGGCCTTGATGTACTTTTTTCCCAACTTGGAACCAGTCTGTTGTTGCATGTCTGATTCTAACTCTTGCTTCTTGACCTGCATACATATTTCTAAGGAGGCAGGTAAGGTGGTCTGATATTCCCATCTCTTGAAGAATTTTCCACGGTTTGTTGTGATCCACACGGTAAAAGTTTAGTTTAAAATCTAAACTACACTAAATTTAGGTATGGGCAAACTTATTTTCCACATAGACCCTACTGAAGACTGAGATTGCTGTCCTTCAGTGTTGTACTGTAGGAGCTGAATAGTACAGTGTGACATAAAAATGAATCACAGCAATGAATGCTCAGCGATGATTGTATTTTTCAGACTGGAATGTTCTGTCCTAAAGCTTCTCACAGCTGTGAAGATCTCATCACTGAGGTTGCCCACAGAATTCTGGCATGCACACATACGCATTTTTATTTAACAAATGAGTATTATTTCATCATGTATAGATACCAATTCACATTTTTTTAACAGTAAATTTGGGTTATCTCTGCATATCAGAATATTTACCTCTACCACAATCATTTTGTTTTTTAGTTTTTATTAAGAGAAATTTCAAATATACAAAAAAGTATAGCCACTAAATAAAGACCCATGGGGTATCCACTCCCCTCCTTCATTCTCACAGTTATCAGCACAAGATCCTTTTCTCATGTCTATATCCACCTCCTCCTCCCACTCCTAAGTCA